GTCCATATTCTCCATGCCATAGTAAACTGCAAGGAAATACTCCTACACACACACAACCCCACATGTCCCCTGAGGAAAAACTCCGTCAGTGTCTGCAAATAGAAGCCTCTTAATCAATCATGGGGTGGCCGTAATACTTGGCCTCCATTCGTGCTGCTCCCTAAAATACCTGCCCTTTCCCCTCAAGTTTTAAGTTCTGTTCCATCCAGCCTACTGCTCATTTGTGTCATCTCCCAGCCAGCCTCCCTGTCCTGGAGGGATTTAAAACAGACATCAGCCCGACACCTCAGGCAGTGATGGAGCTGGTGAGCATTAGCATCCAGCCAGTCAGAACTGAGATCAACAGCTCAGTTCTACCACTTAAGTAAACCACCGCTTTGGCCTGTTTTGTATGGTAAAATAGGGATCACTCCTACATAAAACAGTGTGAGGATTGTGGGAAATGCCTAAAAATCACTTAGCAAGGCAGCACCAAATCCATACCAAGTGAAAACTACTGACAACATATATTACACAGCGGTTCTCACATATCACCTCAAAGGTCAAAGCTGTCCTATTTTAAAGATGCTCTTTCCAAATAGGATAATCCAAAATACTGGGAGTCTCAGAATGTCCCACTAAGGACTTGCAGGTTCCTGTAATTAAAATTTTCAGTTTAGTAAACTGGACATCTTACCTGGAAGGCCTGGTCATCCCCGGCCTCTGAGAGCACTACTCAAATATAGTTAATGAAATGAACTGTGCTGTTGTAAAACCTTAAGTATTGTGTTCTATAAATGTCCAATACTCTTCTGTGGTAATGATGGGAATTTAGTCTGAATTGTCTTATGTAACGAACATTTCAAATATTAAAAATCTGAAGGTTCCATAGAACTTTACTTAGTTCACTAAAACTCTTAAAAAACCTTAAAAGTTAGTGCAGAGAGGTACATAGAAGAGGTATTTGAAGACAGAGGATCAAGAAAATCGCAAAATTGATAAAAACAGCAATGTAGACTCAAGATTCCTATCACATTCCAGCATAAGATAAAAAAGTACACACCTATATCCAGACATGATAATGAAACTAATACACAGGAGAAGTGTCATATCTGTGTGTAGCTAACACAGGACTGGAAGAAAAGATTAGCTGTGAGTTTAACACAGCCAATTCCACTAGTATCTAAGTAATCACTCTCTAAAAACTACCTAACTATTCGATGTTAAGGAAATTTGCCGTTTGTCTAGATTTGAAATCCCATCACAGGTCTGAAGATTCCTGTCTTAAAAGAGTAAAATGACATCACTAGCAATACGTTATTTCTCATTGTTTCTGGAAACTCCAATCAGTAAAAAATGAGGCAAATAAAAATATCAACTTAGATGATAGTTAATATTCATCTAGGTTTTAAAGCAATTCATAAATAAGAAAATACAGTTTGTAAGTTATGAGGACAATGACCCTCACCAGTGATGAAAAAAAAAAAAAAAAAGTAACATGAGGTGTGCTTCCACATCCTTAGATAGCAGTATCTGGCATCTGAAGGCAGAAGTCAAAATGTCCCAGTGCACTTATTGGCATTTGAAGTATTAAAACACTCCCTTGAAATAGTAATTTAGTTGAAAGGAGAACATAAGCCAGAAGTGTTTTTTTATAAGAAGTTATTCCAGGGCATAATACATATGAAAGATGTATATATACAGCAAGGTATTCAATTGACATCACATTATAAAAATGATAAGCATGAAAACTAGATAGCAATATATAACATTTGAATGACTGTTAAGTTCTTAAGATGTACACTGGCCAGTAACTTCTTTTCTAAAACTAACACCAAAAGTATAGGCAAAATTCCTGCTGAGCAAGTGAGAACTATCCCAGTATCCAATACAGAGATGAAAACTCCATGCAAGGTCTGTATTTGAAATTGAAACAAATCCAATGGACTTGAGGGTAAGGTAACAGTCAGTATAGCATGATTCTATTTCCTGAGAGGTTTTTAGTTATACATGGAACGATACAGATGTACTTACAAAATATTTATACAAGGTTATCTTTTTAAAAAGCAATTTCATGTATTTTCCGATGTACAATCAGCAGTTACCTTCACATTCAGAAGTCATCAATGTATCCAGCTTAGAAAACAAAAAGCTCACTTGAAAATGAACTGGCTGAGCACTGCGTAAGGTGTCACGTGGCAAGAAGCAAATGTTTGTGAAAGCTTTTATTTTTTTAACCCACACTCATTAAAAAATTGCTGGAAGTAGGAGATTCAAAATAGGGCTGTAGACAAGAGGATGAATTTGGACAGTATTTTATTCTTCGCACTAACCTGCTGCCCAATCCTGGACACGTTTATTTTCATTGTGACAAGCACAGCCTGGAAATGCTGGTGGCTGTGGCCAATGTATGAAATCAATGGCCAAGAGGGGCACCCTGAACCAGGGGCCAACAGTGGCTGTCATATTAACTATGTATTGCTGACACCAGCTAGCCGTGATCAACAAAACACCAATTTCCTATGTTTAACGTAGCAGCTATTCTGAAATGTTCCATTCTAATTCTAAAATTACTTAAACGTGTTCCAAATGGCTGGTATGAATGAGATCTGACCATTTGAAAGAAATGGAGCTTTAAAGTCGGGGAACTTGGAAACATCTAAGCAACCTGACCACCGCCAGGTAATGGCAGAACTCAAGACTAGGCCAGCCAGCCTGACTGGCATCTGGTGCACTCCGGTCACTTGCCTCCAGCTCATGCAAGACACAGCGCACCATCACTCCACCAGAGAGAAGAAAATGAGTAAGAGAATTTGAATATAAAAGACTAATTACATTAGCTTTCCCTAGTGGGAGGGGAGTTTAGTGAAAATGCGTAAGTAAATCTTCTTCTGTATTCTGGTTACTAAAAATAACAAAAATAAAAATGCAGGGAATTAGGGCTGATTGGCAACAAAAAATAGATTCAGGAGGTGAGATAATATTGAAGATGTTAAGACTGTTCACTATTTACCTCTTAAAAAAATTTAGAAATTTATTTATGCATGCAGAACTGGGGTACAGGCCAGAGGTGCAGGAGTGGTGAGAGGGTTCACCAGAGACAGAGGGGGGCATGAACAGGCAGGTGGAGGGGAGCAGCAGGGAGGCGAGAGACAGACCTCTCCCGCCACGTCGTCGATCAACCACAGGGCAGGGGATTGAACCCGCACTGAGGCAGCTGTGGCTGGCTTGCAGCGCTGTGCTTTACCCTGCTGCGCCACCAGGGAGGGCCCTACCTTTTCTCTCTCTACACACACAGTAGGTAAAAGTTAATCGCAGTAAATAACTGTCTTATAAACAAGTCAGACCAACATATCTACAGGGGGAAAAGAAAAGTCATCCTTTGGAGAAAAGAAATATTAATATTGGAAGTTCCCCAACATGTTTTAGAAAAATACAGGTGTCTTGAATGTAAAAGCAAATACTGATTAACACAGTTACTAACATAAGGTTAACTGATCAGGAAAAGTTAAGCTAGAAGCAGGTGAGCTTAGAGAGAAAAAGTCAACAGCCCAGTTACCTTGTTATATAATGTGACAAAGAGGCTATCTCAAGGGTACACAAATTCAAGTCTTTATTTAAAAAAAAAAATTAACAGTTTATTACAACGAACAAAAACATACTAACCAAATTTATTTACCATACGAAAAAGGGTTTTAGCAGTGAATATTGGCAGCAGCCTGAAAATCTTCTTACACTATCTGAAACCACCTCGTGCACTAGGCCACCTTCCTAGCTCCCCGTGAGCCGCTTCCTCTCCTTTGGGTGGGAACACACTTTCTCTCAGCTGCTAGGTCTAAAAAACACCCCACCCCAAGGAGCAGATACTGCCCCTAAATGATATATATGTCCTCTGAATTTCGGTCTTGTGAGGAAATCAGGACTCTGCTACTATTCCAGTTGTTTCTAAGGCAGAGAGCTAATTCGAAAAAATGACTAAAACAGGTGGTTGTGCCAAAATAGATTTTGCTATAGCAAATCTGAACTTCCTTTGCTTAAAAATTAGGTCTATCCTAAGCTAATGCAGGTAAGGAAAGGCACAATACCAAGAAGGAGTAATAGAAAAATAGCCTCAAACTGCAAATTTAGAACTTCAAGCATCATTCATATGGACATTAGAAAAATTAAGGTGCAAAATAGAAGTGGACTTACACCATCTTTCAACAAATTGAGAATGACTTTATACTTGTTACAAAGCATATTTTCTCCCCCAAATCTTATTTTAAGATCATCAATTTGAGAAACTACTCCTTCCTCAAGTGGAGGAATGTCCTAAATGGAAGCACAAAGTCATCAAGTAGACGATCAGCCTCTACACAAAATGGTGTGTCTTTATTGAGTTTTCAGTCAGGCAGAATCGAGTCATCTTCATATATGCATAAGGATATTCTCAATGCAACAATGCTCTTTTTAGAAAAAGTCTACAAATGTCCAAAAGGGGTGTCCGGACAATGATACCTTGGAGCAATTAAAGTAATGAGCTAGGTAGCTAATGTGGAAAGACAACCAAATTTAACAAGTCACAAAATTGTACATGTAAGATAATGGAGGCCATCACAGACATACAAAATAAACAACATATGCCTTAAATACAGAAGACAAGAAGCCACCCCTGGGGTACAGGAATGAAACCACAGGAAGGAGCCAGTTCTTCGCATTATACAAAACTTGGTATACTGCATATTTTTAGAAATCATAAACATGTATTTTGTAACAAAAACCCTTAAAAGTCTTTAAAAAACCTGATTGCAACCAAAGCATGCTATAAAACACTGACTATATAGCATCAGCCTGCAAACCCTTGCTGTCTTTTAGTGAATATACTTTAGTCAAAATTAGAAGGCTCATTGGTGTTTTGATTTCTCCGTCCCTTCACTTACTAGGAGTGAAGGAGAATGTTGAGAAGTTTGTATCTTAAAACTATACCTGGTATAGCATTTACTCACGATTCCAGACAACCAATTAAAAAACAAAACAAAACATGTATTTACGAACATTTTAATGACCAACAAAAATATCTTACCCAAGATCAATTTTTCTTTTTACAAAAGCCTGAGTCACAACATTCTGTTTTCATTAAATTCCAGTCCTGTGTGTTAGACAAGCACATATTTCAAATGGATTTAAGTATATGATGAAATGTTATCCTTAGGCATAAAATAAGCAGAACATGGAGGTTATCAGTCCTGCAAGAAAATGGTCTTGACAAGTTTTCACAGGAAATTAGTATCTTAAATTAGTAAATTCAAATCCCTAAGACTTGACTCCAAATCAAAACAGCGCGTGATAGCAGAAGAGCCCCTGATGTCTGCTCAGGACCTGCCAGCCCAAGGCCTCACAGATTCAGGTGTGGGAGTATAACAAAATAGGTTGTCAGGCCACCTTGAGAGTGCAGACCCTCTTAAACTTATTCAAAACTCCAATTTTTTGAATACTGTGCTGGTCAAACACAACTATGGTACAGAGTATGTGCCATGAATGTGCAACCCTCCTTCGGCACAACAACTTTCAAGAATCAGAATTCACACTTGGATGTTTCCAGATTAATTGCCTCACTGTCCAGTACAATTCTAGAAATGAACCAGGGACAAATGCTTGCTAACTTCATATGAAACAACAGCTTCTTCAGGTACTGGATATACTCCCCATGTAACCAATACATTCATCAGGGCATAGCACTGTATGGGTGCTGTGATGGAGCTGGGTCCTCTGAAGGCTTGGAGGCAGGTGCCGGCTCCACCTATCTCCAACCGCAATCTTCATGGCGTCAGGTGCAAAGCTGCAGGCAGCCGTGGCGAGAGCACTTCACACCACAAACATCAAGTAAATGAATGCTATCTGACAAGTCGCTTTTCATGAGAAGCTGCTTCACATTTACCAGCACTGGATTACATGATGGTCATGTAATCTTATTTGTTGAAATACACCAAACCAAATGTTCCATTAGTGGTATTACAATGCTTTCAAATATACAAAGAAAAACTTAACAAATGAGGATGAATTCATATAACTGGCCAATACAAATTTTTATAAGTTTCCATTTACAAAGTTTTAAAACTATCTAGGTAACAAGCTATTGTCAAATTCGAATGTCTCACAAAACAGGAGTCACTGTGATGCTTAAGATCTCTAGTTTAGAACCTGTTAGTTTACTTTTATACTTTATCAACAAAACCCTAGAGAATAAGCTGCACTGATTTCATCAAATTATGAATGGAACCCAAATGAAATAACTAAATTTTACTAGGCACATAATAAAAAAGTAACTCTCTTGGAATTTCAAGAGTTGTTTTGTTTTAATCTGACAATAAATGTGTCTGCATTTTATTCCATTGAGAGAATGTATTTGCTTCCCAGAGGAAAGGCCTTGCCACCAGTTTAATTTCTCAGTGTGTTATCTGAGTTCACTTTAAGGATTATACAATGAAACGCATTTAGCAAGCTTCTGATACACTGAAAGGGATCAAAACACCCTGCCCTATAATACCATCACTATTACTACTTTGAAAACATTAATTTCAAAACTATACATATTCATAATGGTCCCCTAGTTTAATTCCCCAACATAAGCCTGAGAGTCTAAGGGGTGGCCAAAGATGGAGTCAGCCACTCACGCAGTAGTAGAAACTCAGACAAGGCAGCCCAGGAAGCAAGGTGCAGGGTCACCCAGGATGACATGGAAAATTACCTCAAGAAGCAGGTTCACACTACACCACAACAGCAACAAAGCAAAAGCTTGTGGTGACTACTTACCCTGCTACCTTTTAACATGACACTATAACTTCAAAAGATTTCAGTATTTTGGTTAAATGAAAAAAGGAACAAGAATTCTCTTTAAAAATAAACTGTAAAATCTGTGTGGAGAGAAAATTCACAGCAAATCTTTTTCTTAAGTAGACACATCCTTTCATTGTATTAGCTTGACTTCCTAGTTAAGAGGAATCTATTTTTTCTGTGTGTGTGAAATTCTTTATTAACCAGAAATGTGAAAGTTAAGAAACTTCTTCATTTTGAAGATTTCTTCAGTAAGGTGAAGAAATTCAAAAGTTTTTAAATAGCTATTTGATAATCCCTCAATTATGCAACCTCAAAGCAGCTGGGATAGTAAATGTTCTCAAAATAAACACCAGTAACTGAGAAGTAGAACTTACAATAGCCTTTCAAAAAGGTAATATCCACCAATATCATCATCACTGAAATATTTTCAAATAAAATTAGAACATTAAAATGTTTGCAATTTCAACCAGAATTTCAATTTGTCCCCCAAACAAAAACAATCTCCGAAGTCCAGAAAACAGTAAACTTACCCTATACTAACCACTCCTGTTCTAGGAGCAAGCAAATTTCAAGTGGATGTATGGTTCTCAACATATGGCTTAAGGACCCCCAGGAGGAGGGGGATGTCCCTAGAACTCAAAGAGAAGCTGACTTCATAATAATACTAAGATGTCAACGCCTCTTCACTCATGCGCAGCAGCTTCCCAGTACCCACTCGCCACACAAGGAACCAAAAGGCATAAGAGGATGCACAGCCCCAATGCTTCTATTAATAGAAAATGCAAAATAATGTCTTCTGGAAAGTCGTTATTTTCATCAACATGGCATTTATATGTTAACATGTAATGGGTTGATTATTATTATTGTTAATTACATTTAAATAAACAGGTTTTTTAAAAAGCCCCTATTACAGTAAATGCAGATAGATATAAACTACATAAACAAAAGCTCTCTGGGGCTCTTGAAAAAATTTTAAATTATTGTCCTAAAACCAAAGTGTTTTAGAACTGTTAGTATTAAGGTACAAAGGCAGTCAATTACTCATCCATTTTACCAGTTTAGAGCAACTGTACCAAAGAGAATGAGCCTGGGTGACTCCCAGATTGAGACACGCCATGTTCCTTCACATCTGCTGAAGGAAATATTTGAAGGAAGAAAGTGATTACCTGATCTCTAAATTTCACAAAGATGAGATTAGGTCTTTAAACTAGATCAAGAAGGTTTGCTACTCTAAAAGAAAAATTTCAATTTCATTCAAACAGTCACAAAAACTGAAGAACCTTCTCTTTTGGGGCACTTAATACAATATATAAAAAGCCAGAAGCAAATCTGAATACGAAAAGTCTAACAAAAGTTGACCTAAATCCACTATCAATCTGACCCACTTCTTAAATTAAGCATCTGGATTTTACGAACACTCGAAGTCAGTACAGCACTGAGTTACAAGCTTCAAAATTTACCCAGCAAATAATGTCTTTAAAACTATTTTCATAAAAACTGTTTAATTTACTTATTTCATAGATGGAGAGTTCTGTTAGGTTATTTGAGCAATAACCTACAATTACATAGCATTGTACATATGAATTGAGACCCAATACAATCTAAAACGCAGAAATTCCATGAAAAATTACTGGAGGGAAGAGTTCCAAAGCAAAGACATTTCAAGTATAAACCAACACACACCTAGACCTTTGCAGGATTCATTTAATTCTCAGAGAATAGGCATATTGTTCAGAATAGGGACAGAAACATCCCAGTATTCTTAGTCAGAATGGTTCAGATAAACCACCATTAGATACAGAGAGCAATATTTTAACAAGTCTGACATACTACACAGATTTTAATATATTATTCTAAGAATTCATGCAATCACCACTGGAAAAGGTATTCAACATGAATAAAATGTTTGAGGAAACTGATGTTTACATATTTCAACATCAAAGCTTTTTTTTTTTGATCATTATAAAACTTTTCAAACATGTTAGTTATTTCTAAGTGTAATTTCACTTTTCCTGATGACAGGAAGTTACAACAGGAGACATATATCAGAGAATCAGTGATGTCCTTCCTGCTGGGCTGTCTGTCCCTGGACCATAGTACTTTCTATCTCCTTCCTTTTAAGCCATTACATCTGAACTGCTAGTATGCAATAGGCTGGGAAATTAATAAAAATTTCACATAAAACAAATGTATGAGTTCTGAACATACAGACAGTGTGATTAGGTGAGTTGCTCTAAGCCATTAAAAACAAAAATTCCAAGTTTCTCAGTTGTGTTCCATTTTGATGAGACTGCCAGGTTATCTCTGGGTAAATGAGGCATTATTTACATAAATATTTAAACAAGTTCATTTGAATATTAACAAAAAATACAACTAAAATATTAGTATCTTTGTCATTTTAAACAAAGTACTCTATAACTTTAAGATTGGGTTTCCAGTTTCTTTCCCCCTAGAAATGAACATGAACAAATGTCTTATGAATAATATCAGTTTGTCCAAAAGAAACAAAAACAAAGAAACTGAGGTGCAATCGTGTCACAGTCAATGCATGTTTGCTTCCAATACATTCAAAGACAATATATTAAAAAAAAAAAAAAGTTAAAATAGGTCTTTTGCAGTCTGAGAATTCAAGATACTTTAAAAATTTGTAAATACACATGCATGCAAATCATTTATATATACAAATGCTCATAAAATTAAGTTGCAAACAAATTAGGAGGATTATGGTGAATCGGACAAGCTACATTTAAATGCTTTACCACTGACATATTACTGAATATAGCAGTCATACTAGTTTTAATAATTTTTTTACATGGCCTTTATAAAATTTTCTCTTTTAGACATAAAAGTTAGTCACTACAAGTCTTCTGAAATTCTAACTTAAGAATTCAAGATGTTGTCAATTCACTACTCATATTTAAGGCCACTTTGGTAAAGGCATTGCAGCAAGAACACAAAAACAATAGCATATTTTCTAATATTTATTTTTTTCACCTGCAAACTGTAGCAAAACATGATCAGCTTTATTACGCAGACAGGTATCCCTCTACATTGTCAAAGAATTTAGGCATGTATAAATAGAAGAGCTCTTCAGAAAGGAAAAATTCAAGAATGAATAAAACCTTCCAATTTTGACTTTTAACTTTCTAGTAGCAATGGTTAAACTGATTTTACGTCATTCATTTCAAGATATATGACAGCACCTTAAAAGTGGCTGATCCATTTCCCCAGTAACATTTCTCACACAACAATGTGTTAAAGTTACAAATACTGATATGCACAAATAGCTAATTTCTAAGAAAAATATGTACAGTACTGCAGCATAATGAATGTGGTATCTGCAATAACTTAAGATTAGCCAATTTTTAATATACATGATACTGCTACCTTTTTTCTGCCAATTCACAGGTTAGAAGGTGTTACTGGAGCCCTCTGTTTTGCACATATTACCTGGTGTTTAATACACAATGCAGGCTTTTTAAAGACTTCTCTTGTGTTTAAAGCTAAGATCAGTGAAACAAGACAACAGTGCAAGAGGTGGAGAGATGTAATGTGACCACATAAAAGTTCGTTCCAATAAAGTGTCTATAGAAGGCTATAAGAAAGGATTGGTGGATGAGCTTCCTGTTGGAAATTGTCCTGTTGGTGCACCGGTCTAAAGGAAAACATGAGACAAAACAATAAGAAGTAAGATGTTATTGTAGGTGGAAAAATGTAAGCTAAATTTTATTTTAAACAGTAGCTTAAATAGCTAGGAACTATTTGGGAAGTATTACTTTATAAATGCTGGTAATCATTTTGATTCATTATGACTGCTAGCAACATACTACAATAAAATTATTAGCTGTTAGGCTCTATGGTGTCTTTTATACTCATTATTTCATATAATCCTTAAATATGTAGGAGACTGGCCCTGATTTAATTTGATTAAATTTATGATTCAAACCAAATCTCTAACTCCAAGACTCCTATTTTCACACTGTTCACTACATGTATAGGTGCTCATAAAAGCATTCATTTGTTAGGAAAACTGTGTAAGTTTCACGTTATGAAATCGTTTATTTACTGTCAATGCTTTGATCTACAACTGATTAATTTTTCTAACTCACTAATGGATGGGGCCCAGTTGCTGCTACAATTTGTAACCTTATGATGTCATATTTCTAAGAATACCAGACCACATTCAGCAGCTACATCCTACTTTTCCTAATTTTAAAATGACATGTAACAACTTGCAAGTTATTTAAAATAGTATCTCTCTTACCATAAATGGATTACTAGATACTCCAGCAGCTGCAACTTGACCAAAAGGGGTCACCACTGGTTTTGTTTGTCCAAATGCTGCAAAACCTGCACCTTGTTTGAACAAAACCATCAATTATAACCCAAACCTTTGAAAGACACCAAACATTTCATAATGAGTTTCAGAAATTCTGACCACAGCAACAATAAGGAAATATCAGTGCTAAGTTGTTGGGTCTCATGCTTTTTCAAATGCCAGAAACAAATTTCCTTGTGGCATATTTCAAAGAGCTTTCATTCAGCTTTCCAGAAATGCTTAATTCCAATTGGTCTCAGCTGTGTAAACTGCTGACATTCAAAGGATTTACCAGATGAGCCTATGACTATTTTAGGGGGGCTGTGAGAACAACAGTGTTTCTGTTTGAACATTTCAGTGATCCTTAGGGAAAAAATTATGGGTTTGTGAGAAACCCTATTTCTAAATTGTACATAATCACTCACTTTTAATTAAAAGAAAATGTATCTGTAGACTGAGAATTATCTTCAAATGTATGGAATTCAGATTTCAGCAAAGGAACTGGGTTAAAAGGTAAAAAAAAAAAAAAAAAGGTCCCAGTGAATCTTCCTGAAACAAGTAATAAATTCAAACCACAATACCACAATATAGTTGTTTAGAAAATTAGTATCTCAAAAAAGAAAAAAAATCTTGGCGCATAAGAGGTCTATAAAGTTTTCTTTAAAATTCAGGAAGTGTATTACAATACAGCAGGCAAGTAAAACTGACAAGACACTAGGAGATTCTGAGAGTGAAGCAGCAGTCCTTAGGATTGCCAGTTTCTCCCAAATCTGTAAAATGGCTACAAAAATTAAGTCGCTCAATTATTGGAGGCTAGTAAACATTCAGTAGACAATAAGACAGCATTTTTACATCTTTCGGCCCCCTGAAAAGTACTTACAGTTAGCCAAATGTCACATCTTACCATTGGGCTGTTGAGAAAAAGCTGTCTGTTGAGGGAAAGCTGCTTGGGCAGGGAAGGCAGGCTGCTGGAAGCTGCCACTAAAACTGGTGGGAAGACTGTAGGGTGCAGGAGTACTGAACCCCGCAGGCATGCTCATGGACGCAGTACCAAAGGTCGCCGCTGACAGAGGAAAGGAGAAAATTGCGGTTTTGTTTCTCATACTCAGTGTTATAAAATATATATATCTATTTATTGAAGAATATTAATATGTACATTAAAGACATTTTGAATCCCTGAAATCAACCAAATTATAAGTTTTAGCACTATGCAACTTAACACAGCCTAAAGATTTCATTCTTCTTTAAACAAATAAGCACAATGAAACAATACAGCTATTCATGGAAATCATAAGAAATTTTCTCAAGTTATATAAAGTTCAAGTCTACAGAGCAGTCTCCATAGCCCATTATCATGCAATTCACATGTATACTAGTTTTCGGTTTTGACTTTGAGTAGTCAAAATTTAATTTCATCTACCAAATTGTTTGCTACAATGTAGTATGTGCATTCCTGGGGGGGGGGGGATTAAATTTAGCCTCTGAAAAAGAGTTCATTAAAACTAAAAAAGCTCACGAGAGAGAGGGTTGGAGGCAGGTCACACAAAATCAACAGTTTCCTAAGAGCCAAGAAAATGGGGGAAAGGTAGCTCTAATAAAAACACTAACAAAGTTAAAATGACATCTTAAATTCCTAATAAATCAACTTTAAAATGTCTGGGCTTCCATTCCTTTTAGGGAAGGTAAATGAAAACTACTTTGGATTAGGGGTATGAAGGAAGGTCAGGAGTGCTAAATTACAGAAATTAAGGTAAAATGCACAGATTGAAAAGGAAACTAAGTAATTTTCCTAAAATAAAGAAGAGAAAATGAAAACTTGGGTTTTCTACGGTACTCCTCCATGACTTGCAAGTCGAGCGTCACTCCTCAGTGGGCCAGTTTTCCCACAGTGGGGAAACTGAGGTACGCATACAGCATGCATCTATGGCTCCCCCAGGTATGACTACTTATGAAACAAAATGAGTTAGAGAAACACTGGTAATGATATTACAGTGTATTACTTACTGCAACTGAAGATTAAAAACAATATTCCAATTACATGTTTTAGGAAGGCCTCAGTGAAATAGTGTCAATAGTGTTGTTTTTAATACAAAATATTAGCAATTGTGAAATATATTTAGCAGGACATATCAAAAAGCAATCTCTTGCTTTAAAAAAAGTACCAACTTGACTGCAGATTAAAGGCATAGAAATTAATACTAAAGGTATTGCTTAGAATTACTTTATTTTAGAAAAAAAACAAGTGACAGATGTTGCCCAAATTCTCACAATGCTAATTTTTGTTAACAATGCAATTTTCCCACAATGAACCTAATCAGAGTAACAATATTTTAAAGATTTTTTTTAATTAATGAGGAGAAAAAAAGGGAAAACAAGTCACTGGGTAGCAAGAGAATTAAAAGGGTAAGCACACTGCAAAGGAAACAGGAGGGGGCTTCATAGCAGACAACAAAGCACTGACATAACTTAGACAAATCACTTTTTAAGAAAGCACTGAAAAGCAAAACTTGGATACAGTTAAGCAAAACCAAACTCCATGAAATAATATGATAAAATGATTTGGTACATCAAAAAGGTGTCACTAAAAATACTATGAATTTTTAAACTCAGGAAAAAATAATTGAAAAAGCTATTAATGTTCTAATGTGACCATGGAGGTAAGCAATAATGCTTTTTGGCATTAAAACATGAACCCCCACAAAAGATTTTCATTTCACTTTAAATACAACATAACCCCAATGCCACACATCCATGCCCACTGCATTTGAAAACATGGAAAAAACTTAATTCCACATGCAGGGATCCAGAACACTAGCAGAAGCTTCCACAAGCAAGTAAACAAATTGCCACACAAATCTAGATATTAGTTGTGGCCACCTACCAAAATGAGCGTGAGGAAACACTTGAGAATGCATTGCTCCAGAAAGGAAAGCCATAAAGAGACCAATGTCAATTAACTTACGGGTAACTATTGTTAAATTTGTTTTATTAAAAAGTCATAAAATTAAAAAGTAATGTTACATAATGGATAGCATGAGAATATATAATAAGAGCAATTAGAAATATATATATTTATAAAGGGGAAATTAGAACAGCAAATATTTATAAAATTCATTTTTAAAATAAACAGCAACCTTTCTTTTCACGTGATGACAGAGCTGTAACAAAGAAAGTTTGTAGGTCTCATGATTCACACCCTAAAATGCTATTCACAGGGCCCTCTAAAATTGCTTGGCATCTACTATCAGTATCTAATGACAAACCTTGAAATGAGCATCTGATTGTTAACTAGAAATTCCTAACAACTCTAGTGAACTCAGTATTGAAGGTAAAATTAGTCGATGTAGTTCATCAGAAAGCCAAGCAACGTCCTCAGATTACGTATACTGTCTTTGTGTAGAACTTACCTGGCTTTAAATGAGGTCACAGTTATATATAAATGAGTTTAAAAAGACAAATTTAGATGGTTAGTACTAGAATCTTTCTATTTTAATACGTTTTAGCCAGCCAGAGTGGGTTTATCTTAAAAATATGTGTCCTTGCACTTTTAAGTGGCACACTTAAGCAACTAAATTTGGGGGAAAACAAGAGAGAACATGGAGTGGTTCCAAGTTTTACTTTCATCATTTTTCTAACTACAGGAAGTTAACATAGCTTCTATAAGCCTCAGTTTCCTCAACTGTAAGGGGGCAGAGAGAAAGAGTATGTAGTGGTTACTTTACAAAGCTGCCACGAAGATTAGATTTAGTTAGGTGACTGATATCCATTATTAACCACTATAGAGCAGTCTGCAAAAATGCCGCCTCTAAGCCCTACCCCCAGGCTTCTGTAAGAAGTTTCTGTATTATTTTTAACAGTTTTTCAATATATAATTTACCCATCACATTATTTATTCACTTACATGAAGAATTCAATCAATGTAAAGGCTTTTTGAAATATAATTCACATATCAAACAACTCATCATCCACTTTATAGAATCTGATGCTACCTAATATATTCATGTCTGTAAAATCATCATCAGAATCTAATTTTAAAATATTTTCACTGCCCCTAAAAGAAATTCCACGCTTATTACCTGTCACTCCATTTTCAATCCGTCTATTCCCCAACTCTACAGATTTACCCACCTGTGATATCAAATCAATGAAATCATGTCATGTGGCCCTTTATAGCTAGCTTCCTTTACTTAGCCTAATATGTTTAAGATCACCCAAGTACTTCATTGTTTTTTTATCATCAATTAAATTCCATTATATGGCTATACCAAACCTGGTTTTATCCTCTGATCAGTTGACAGATATCTGGGTTTTTCCATTTTTGGGGTATTGTGAATAATATTGCTATTAATATTTCTGTACAAATTTTTGTATGGATCTATATATTCATTTCCTTGCGTATATTCCTGTAAGTAGAATTGCTAGGTCCTATGATAAATCTGTTTAACTTTTTAATGAACTACCTCAATTACTTTCCAAAGAAATCGCATCATTTAGCATTTCCAAGAGCAATATAACAGGTATCTAATTTCTCAACCTCCGTTAACCATCTCTTTTAGACTTATGGACATCCTAGTAGATCTGAAATATCCGCACTGTGGTTCTGATTTCCTTTCCCTAATGGCTAATGGTCAACATTTTCTCATATGCTCTATAGTTTCTTTGGTGTAATGTCTATTTTTTAATCTGAATTGTCTTTTTATAAAGTTGTAAGTGTTCTTTTCATATTATGAGTATAAGCCCCTATAATAGATACAGGATTTGCAAATTTTTCCTCCAGACTGCCATAAAGTTTCTTTTTTGTGTATTAATTTTACAATTGTACAGTCTCTACTGGCTGCTACCAACACCTACTGCAGGTTCAAATGACAGAGATAGTGAAAGATGCACAAACTAAGTATATACTATGTGAGAATATAAATCATTTCTGCATCTAGAAACAAAATGCCCTGAATAGTCCATGTAACTTTCTATTTAGTTTTCTATCTTTGCTTTTCCTGGAATTAAAATAGTGCTGACTTAGCTCACTCATTAAGTAAAACAGAATCGTTAAGGCAAATTTATTAACATCTGCACAACTAAGTTTCAACCAACATAATAAAACAAGAATGTTATGCGGCTAAATGCTATTTCTGTAAGTTTATTCCTTGTTAAAACCTATTCATTCATTCAAATGAATGCTACGAAATAAGGCATCCAGAGATATGTTACAAGAGAATTTCTCAATAACAGAAAACTACATTAACTCTAATTACATATGACAGTTCAAGAGAACTGAAAAAAAAAAAAAAAAAGCGCTAAGTATTATAGAAGCCTAACATTATGATCATGATCTTACATCATATCGGTTAATCTCCTAATAAGGATTTTTCACATGGTAAAAGGAAGTTACAAGTCACAAAACTTTGTAAATGTGGGGATGTGTGTGGGGGGGAGGGGATGGAGGAGCTATTAAAATGTATATTTTTGAAAATGAAATTATCAATAAAACCTTAAAAATTTCACATATTTTAAATGAAATTTTAAATGTTAACATATTTGAGGGGGAAAAAGGTACTTCCTAAAGAATTAATAATTTTGATTACTACTAATAATAAGTAATAATTTTGATGGTATAAACATAAATTTCTAAGCATAATAAAGTACTGCTTCAACAAACATACATGTAATTAACTTATTCTAAATTAGTTAAGCTCAGTTATATAAAAACCCAACAAAGGTGATCATAGTGATGAATTTAAAATAGTTTATAACGCAAACATATTTTACCTTAAAATAAAAACCATGTGGAGGCAGTAGATTAACCTTTCAAAAAACTTTGCCTAGGATATAATTAAAATTATTTTTTATCATCTGAACACACAATACACATTTTATGTTATTTCACATCCTATGTAGAACCTCAATTTTAAAGGCCAGATATATTCTAAATAAGCACTTAATACTATGATAGAAGCATCTCAGAGGTGTAGTCATGAAAGGAAAAGAAAAAAAGGATTTATCAACTATAATATGACTACACAAAGGATATGAAAAGTGAGTGGCATCATCTCATATTCATGTAACCTTGCAAAAAGAATAATAAAGACCAAAGAGCTTACTTAAATCAGTAATTTAATCAAGGTATAATTTGAGTCTCCATTCTTCAGCTGTTAAATGGGGTTATAGTAACTGTAAGCGTCTCAAAACACCACCTTGCAAATAACTTTACACACTCCACTCAACAAATGTGACTATCTCCCATTTATTACTTTTACTTCATTCATTAAAAAATAATATACAAAAAGCTTTCCTACGATTCACAAAACTAATACTAAATCAGGATTCAACTCAAATCTGGTCATACTCAAAACATAACTTTCTAAGCCTGTGTCCTAAGCTGTCAGAGTGATTAAACATTTATGTGATGAATGGTAAAAGGATTAAGTTGGAAAAATATGCAAAAACCATGTGCTATTAGATATTTTACAAATTGCAATCTACCACATATCAAAATAATATGCTTAGTGACAGAAATTTTACATCCATCTACCACAATTGCACAGTACAAATATTTTTGTACAAAACACAATAAAAATTTAAAATAATCACCAATAAGCTATACTTGAACTAAAAAGAAAAAAATTATATGTTAAAATTTAAATACTTAATGAGCTGGCAAAATATTCCTAAAACCGTAATTGTGAACCTTATCAATGATAAAGAGATTTGCTAATAATTGCTAATTCTTAATGGTGCAGATTTAATTGTAAAGTTACAAGTAGCTTCTCTTAAGATTTCTCATCAACATACACTATAACCGAGTTTAGGTTTTAGCTATAAAATTACTGCGAAACTTAAACAAAAACAACACTAACAAACTCTACATTAACAGGCACTGAGTTAAAATACAAGCACCTGCTCAGCTCAAAGGCACTGGTAGACAGCGCTGGTCTTACTGAGCTTAGGTAGGAAGACAAAAATAAAAAACGTACAATACAAAAGATTAGCTGGCTTGTAGTATGGCCCAAAAAGAAAAGGAGAGGCAGGATTAAAGAAGATTAAGAAAAAAAAATCCAAAGAAAACATACTCAAGTATTATACCCAAAATTAAGACAGATTCCCACAATTTAAATTTGTCAACAGCTTAAAAGATATGCACTAGAAGACCTCTTAAAACCTTCTATAATTTCATGAACAGGAACAAATGAAACAAAGATAACAATCTTCTTGTAAACTTTTTCTATTAAGATTCAATGATTTATAGTAGTAATTCTAGTACACTACCAAATAAGTCCGAGTGACAAGTCCCAGCTCTGTCATAAATTTACTGTGTGGCTCACACAGTGAAGTCACATCACCAGGCTTGAATTCCCTTGCCTGAAAATGAAAGTTTTAGTTGGCAAGTGGGAGGCACTAGAAAACTTCTAAGCTCCTTCACAACATTAAATTCCAGAATTACTTTCAGCTAAAATTTGTCTTTGCAGACAAAATCTTCCATATATTTTCCGTTCATTTCAGTATGAGAGAAACCTTATTTTCTGATGGTCTTCACATAGTGTTTTTGCAATAAATACTTTTGCCAAAATTTACTGTTCTGTATTTCCTACCTGTTGTTCCTCTGGCATTGGTCTGAAATGGATTTGTAGATGATACGGAAGGCCCAGCAGCAGCCACAAATGGATTTGTGGAAGGCGTAGCTTTAAAAAATTACAAAATACTCTATTAAATTCTACCACATATGGATTTAATTACCTACAACACTTGGTTCATAGTTATGGAAATATAAAATAGAGCTTCCTGAAGCTAAATCACTCCTCTGACAATCTCCAGTACCCCAAAGAAAATGCTACACAATATTCATTTGGGCTCTTTAAAAAAAATTATATATTATACTAGAAAGACATACCTCCAAAAGGAGCAGGCACACTTGAAGATGCGGGCTGTGTCTGTGCAGCAGCACCCACTGGCACTGTTCCAAACACATTGCTGAAAAATTTAGAGAGTTCATATAAAAAGCAAAAACAACAAGTATAACCTGTATCTACAAGGTGGTCATAAAATGATAAAACATCAAAGCAGAAATATTATATCGAAAACTTCAAAGAAATAGTTTAAGTATGCTGTTACACAGAAAAATCTTAAAATGTCCAAAGCAACAATAAAAAGCCACTTTATGCTAACATCAGTAGCATTTCTAAAGATACATATACATTTTGCAAAACAAAAGAAAATGAAGAAACTAAAACGCCATTTGATATTTTTGCAAATCCCTTTGGTGGCTGGAGTAACATAAGATCAATCTGGTGTGGCATGTTATTCAGGTTATAGTTCATGGAAAACTGGCCTCACACACAGTCACAGTTCAATCAAAAAGCAGTATTTCAGTACTTTTTATCAAATAATTGCAGGTATTTTCTTTGGGACCATAATAGAAACATGAGAATTTCCTAAAAGTTAGTTGTAATGTGGAATTTGAAACCCTATCAATGAACTGTTCATTCTCCATTAAGTCTATTTTGTATTGTGAATGAATCTTTTAGTGATTTCGTATCACTTAGAAAATACTTAATGTCAATCTTCCAAATGTTGACAAATTTCCTTATGCAAAATAAAAATCACATTCATTAGAACACGTTATCAGAAAAGTAATGGGAAGCTGATATGGTCTTGCTGGAGTCAATAAATTTTCCTAAATTTTAATAGCTGTTGGAAAATGTGAAATTTGTCAGTTCTTTTCTTTAAAGTGACAGACGAAATGGTCCAAATCAGTTGATGATTTTTTTTATTAGTCATATATTCAAAGAAAATGTTCCACAAAACAACTGGCTGGTTCATTCCGTAACTCATACAACCACACAAATTTATTTTCCTCTTGACAGTCATCAGATTTCAATATACTTTATTACTCTATTCTACACCTTACTTCAACACAGAACATTTAAAAGAAAAACAATCAAGAATATTCACAAGTGAAGTCAAAAGCATAGTGGGAAGAGTGTAGTGACTACTCAGTGACCACTTGTACACCTCAGGGCATGGCCATGATTTGTACTCAGGTGCCAGGAAGTTCTACCTGCCACTGCTTTTGCTCAATCAACACAATTACTAATTTGTGCAAACAGAACCTCTCAGAAGTATTATGTATAATGGTTTAGCTTCATGAGCTTCTTCTCAAAGGGTCTCAGGTAACCCAAATGCTTTGGGGACTACTCATGTCCTTTCACACAGCATCAGCAAACTCCTGTGTCCCCAGACCTTAAGGTGATCTTTTTATAGACTACTGCTGCACACATCTACTGTAAGTGACACTGACTAAACACAAAATACAAAAATACTCTGAATTTTATTCTTTGGGTTCAATTTTTCCCATCTGTCACTGAAAATATTTATTATTAAAGAGTCCAAGTAGTGAGCATTATAAACCTACCATTTCTCTCTAAAAAAGGAGCTAGAATAAAAGGTAACCAGAATAACAAAATAAAACAAATAGTAACAAAAAATGGGAAAAATTCAGAGTGAAAAGATGGATAGAACACTGCATAGGTAAGAAGACCCTGTACTTCTGGATTGGTTTCCTAAACTCTGAAATGAAATCATCACAACTAAAATCTGTTAAGACTCCCTGCTGCCAAGAATTCCTATAAAGCAAACATACTGGAGAGGTATGCAACAGGTATGGCTATCCATTAATACCAGTATGACACTGAAGAGAGATGAATTTGCTATGTTCTGGCATAATCATTTCTAGAAACGTTTATTTACAACTAAGGCTATTACACAGTAAGGCTACAACAGACCACAAGTTAAGTAAATCTAGTGTATGTAACACTAATTAAAAAAATACATACACATTCCAAATTTTTTTCTTTGGATTCAATTTTTCCCATTTGTCACAGAGAATATTTATCACTGAAGTGAGCTGAGACTTTGTGAAAGCTGTATTGAATAGTTTGACTGTTAACAGGACTCTGCTGAGTGTAACAGTCCATGGTGAAATATAAGTACATAAGTCTGAATTATAGTCTATTTTAACTAGTAAGGTAAACTGTTTCCTCAATTTTGCAAAAATATTCACCAATTTCAAAATTATATCCCAAGTACTCATTATTTACATTACTACTCAAGGTTAAGAAAGAGATGAACAGCTAAACACAAAGCAGGAGCACTGACAAGGTACCTGCTGGCATTACTTGTAGAAGTGTATGCATTACTAGAAGTGGCTGCAGAGCTGAATACGCTGTCTAGTTCTGCCAGGGCTGCATACTTGTCTGAAGATGCACTTGACTGACTGGGAATTGAAACCACAGAAGCAACAGGAGCTTTACCTGTGGTCCCAAAGCCACTCCCCTGATCACCACCTATAAACAAACAAAAACAAATTAAACCAAGCTTTAAATTATACTTTCAACTTATCAAGCACAGCTGCCACGAAATTCATACAAACTTAAACCTAACTGGAGCCAAACAAATAAATGGACAAGTTTCTGGTCTCACCTAACAATAACCTCAAAAGTAATGAACAAAATTTGCTAGATATATTATGATATAAAGACAGAATACTGCTTCTATATCAAAAATTAAGACTATATTGATTACAGATTCTACATAAAGAAGAAATGCTCAAAAATGCTACATTAATCCCTCTAACACAGGTAAAGCTCATTCCAGTGAACAGATAACTCCACAACATGTTAGATTTAATATGGACAGCCTATTAATATTTCCCAGGTATTTTTTCTTTTCATGAAAACAGAGGAGACATTAGCATGTATTTACTGTGTTCCAGGCATTGTTCTAAAAAATGCCTTACATCTAATAACACAAAGTCATGAGTTCAGTGCCATTACTACCCACATTTTGGAGATAAGAAAGCATATCCACAGATCAAGTCAAGAATTCACTCTGAAAGCAGATTCTTGCTATCCATTACACAATGCACTCTGAGAGGCAATATATTGGCCTGACATCAAAACCAGTGATAAACACACATTTTAGAAACAGGCTTTAAAAGGAGAAAAAGAAAAGCACCAAAATGTTAACAGAAAATAGTTCAAAATGAATATAAACCACAAATAACCTTCTTATTACCTCTACTTATTATATTAATAAGAGTTCTTGGCCCTTTATGACCTTAGACAGTAAAGCATGCCTTTTAATTTCTAATACTTTTTCAATTATATTTTAATTGTAAGTTTACACGTGTTTCTATGCCTTCAGATTCAAAATGTACCAACTAGACATGAATGTCTAATATAAACAAATTTTCTACACAACTACTAAGCATAATACCCTCAAATTTTAATGCATACAATCAACTTTCGAGAGCTATTTAAATAAACGAATTTGCATGTGTTCTGTTTAAAGGTAATACCTTGCCCAGCACTGAAGATATTGTCTAAATTGGCAAGTGCCGCATATTTATCTGCAGTCTGTAGACCAGCTTTATTCGTTGTAACTTTACTAACAGCTGATGCTGTCTGATGACTCTGGGAAGTACTGAAGGTTCCAAAATCAGCACTGGAGGATTTGGGGAAGTTATCAAAATGAGCAAAATTAGCATTTACTGATCCAGCATTTCCACCTGTAACAGAATAAACAGAACAACTGAAATTTCTAAACTTTTCCAATATACTTTGATAGATTATATCATTTCTTCCTAAATTAAGCACCCTATAAGCAAATCCTGCACTCCTAAAATTAACAACTGGCAAATGGCATACAACTTTAATTATTTACATATGACTTTTTATAATTCTCAGCTAGATTTCCAAAGGCTCTGGCAACATAAAGGTTAGCAAGTTTCTATGGGTAATTATAAGTTTCTGTGGGTAATAACCTATCCAAGAATGAAAATTCAATTCATAGATAAGCAATTTCATGCCACCTGGTTTGAGCTGGCTTACTTCACAGAACATTCCAGATATTATATGCTAAGACCTTTCATGATTTCTCCTAAGCAGACTGTACGCAAGTAGCAAAGTTCTTACAAGGAAGCATGTATAGTTGCAATGGAGAGTTGGTTGACACAATCTAATAATAAAACTTTAAAATGTACTATTTTGATGTAGAATTTCTTAAAATGTGGTATTTGGGCTTTGTACTTATTTTAGTTGAAAAGCTATTAATTGTACATAGTAATTTTATGTGTATACAACAGCATAATACCCTCAGAAAATCATGGCCTATCACATACAGTTCAAGGAATAAAAATTATAATACAAAATAATTTAAATATTATAGTAATTTCTTCACTTTATAGAATACATTTAACCAATGGTCACTGCTGTGTATATCTTCTTAATATAGTCCGTTCTGTAGTCTACAGACTTCCCTAAAATACTACCAGAAGACTAAAGCTAGTGTATTTCATTCTATGCTTTTTATCCTATATATTTTAGTGACTCTTTACTCCTAAACATTAGTTTCAACAATCAAAATAGGATATATATGTGTCTAAACATCAAGGAGGCCTCACACAAGTATTTCTGAAACAGAATATATACACCCCAACTAAAATCCACAACTTCCATCAGTTTCTTAAGACAGTCTAAAGCAAATATATACAATAAAATTCTTTCCCACGATTTAAAATCATTCTTTTCAACTGAAGTTAAGCACACTCTATTTCTATTTAAAGGACTATGGTCTGTTACAAGTAGCCGATGAATAAAGAACATACTAAGCTTTCAAAATTTGTAGGAAGGAATTTATTTCAAATCATTAAAAATTGAATAATTAAATCAAGTAGCTTACTATATACTGTGTTCTCTAAGCCTGAGTTCAGTAATAGTGGAGTGTAAACATGAGAATTTATTAAGAGCTATTTGTGCAAGATGACTAACATTCTCTAAGTGAAAACACCAAGAATAATAGATGCCTACTTGACAACAGAACTTACTGTTGGTGGCCTGGAGAGGAAAGGCTGAAGTAAGTTCACCAAAACTGCAGCTAGATGAAAGCATTCTAAATGCTGGACAGCAGAAATTATAAAATGATGAAATTTAAAGGGAAAAAAAATTGAAAGAAAAAGCTTTGAGACACAGAATTAAAAGTTGAAAGACAAGTAATTAGACAAAGTTCTAAACAAAGGAGCAATGAGTTTCTGAAAACAATGATGTGTTGGGGAGGAGTATTCAATATTTAAAGAACAATTTCTGCACAGAAAACTATTTCGTTTTCTAAGTTTAATTGCTAAATAATCCACTCTCGATTAATAACATTTACTTTCTTAAGCTTGTTGTTATGAAAAACTTATATTTTTAGTTCAATGAAAGCAATCAGCTTCATTTATTCAGAATTAACGTGCTGTGTGCACCTAAAAAAAGTTTAGTACTTTAATTCCACTGGAATTAAATTCAAGAAATTTAAGAAAGTTTCATGTGCAGGAAGAGGTGTAGGTGTTGTAAATTAGACAACATATGAAGGAATTCAGACAAACAGGTACAAAAGAAAAGAAAATGTCAGGTTTCCCCAGAGCTTTGTAAGATAAACTATTTTAAAATCACATAATTATATAGAATTTAAGTTAAAAGTAATTTTTGAAAACTGTATCTAATTAGTAGTCTTATCTTGTTAAAAGTAAACATAGGAGCATAACACCGGAGAAAGTTCTACCTATAGCTTGGGATTTAAAATAAACATTTAAGCATAATGCTGGAGAGGCTCTACCTGTAGTTTGGGGCTGAAAAGGAGGGTGACTTGCTGTGGGGAAACCTCCAAAATTACTCGAACCACTAGACTGTCCAAATGCATCAAAGTTTGCAAAATCTGCATTTGCAGAATTCTGAGCTGTAAATGGTAAGGAACAATAAATGTTAATGAATGTGAAACTATAAATGAAAACTATGACAAATGAACTTAAGATATTATGAAAAGTTTCTATTATCTCAAACTTACTTTAAAGAGGATACATTTAGAAACCAAATTTTAAATCCTGCCAGTGCTTATCCCAATTACATGCTATGCAGTAAAGGGTATTAAGAACTTTATGAAGTGTTTTGTAAAATGCTGAAACAATAACCTCTGAATAACCTTAGAAACAATAACACAAATATGACTATTAAAAGCACTAAATACACGAATTACAGTATAAGACAGAGATGCAGGATACAAAATGCGTTTTGAAAAATTCAGATGCAAAATGGTAATGAGTGACAACTGACCCTAAATACTAATATAAAGATGGCTTAATGACATTAATATTCCTACTAGTTAATTTGGAATTTACAAATATAGCATAGAAGAATCAAAATTAAAAAGGACATAAAACCAAATACAAAGAAGATATTTACATTGCATTAGAAGCCTATCATTCTGAAGCCTGTGTTTAAATTTAAGAAATAATGAAAACTAATTCATACTCAGTGGAAAAGACCAACGGGTGATTCTCTAACTGGTCATCATCTAAAAGCAAAACTCTAGGTTTCCCTAATCTTAAAATACATCACTAGTAGAAGTCCAAAATAATTTTTTAAAGGCTGAACAAATGCTGGTACGAATTTTATAGAGGATAAAATGAGAATACAAAGTGCAGAAAAGGGAACTGATAAGTGTTAAGTGATAGAAAGTGTGACTAAAAGATGGAGCAAAACTAATTATCAACACAGTAAAAGTTATTTAAATCTTTGTTTTGGGGATTTAAAAAAATATCTATATTATTGTTCACTTTATAACAATGTTTACTTCCCCCCATCTCCCATCATCACCATAGCCCCCCCCCATTCCTTCCTCTTTCTGATCCCTCTCTGTTCCCCTCTCCTGTAGAATCTCTCTAGTTTATAATAGTCTGTATTTGTTTAATTTTCTATTGTAATAACAATACACTTTACCCCCATCTTATTTGGTTCTCTTAAATTCCTCTTGTGAAACCATTCGATATTTTTCTTTTTCCTTCTGACTTATTTCACTGAGCATAATCCCTTCCAGCGCCATCCAGGTTGCTGCTAATAGCCTGAGTTTATCTTTTTTGATTGCTGAATGGTATTCCTGTGTGTGTCATATCTTCTTGATCCAATCATCTAATTTTGGGGATTTGCATTGTTTCCAGTATTTACCTATTGTAAGTAGTGCTGCAATAAACATAGGGGTACATGCATCGTTTTGAATTAATGTTATTGCGTCCTTTGGGTAGATCCCTAGGAGTGGAATTGCTGGGTCCTATGGCAGCTCCATTTTTAGAAATCTGGGCTTCCCATAGTGGTTATACTAGTTTGCATTCCCACCAGCAATGTAAGAGTTCCTTTCTCAGGGCATCCTCACCAACATTTGTTGTTGTTATGTGCCATTCTCACTGGTGTGAGATGGTATCTCATTATAGTTTTGATTTGCATTTCCTTGATTATGAGGGATGCTGAACATTTTTCATATGCCTGTTGGCCATTTGCAATTCCTCTTTGGATAAGTGGAAGAACTCTTTTAAGTTCTTCTGCCCATTTCTTGACTGAGTTGTTTTGTTTTTAGTGATTCTACTGAGCTCTTTGTATATCTTTGTGTTCAGTCCTTGTCTGTTACATGGGGTACCAAGATTTTTTTTCGCAGTCAGTAGGGTACCTTAAATCTTTTATAGGCAATCCCACTTCCAGGAAGTTTTTGTAAAGTATAATCTTGCAAATGTATGTGCATGGCTAATCTCTAAAGGTAAAACACTGTCTTCTATAATGAAGGCTTTCTATAGAAAGCCCCAATGACCAACTGACTTAACTATATCATGGAACATCAGACAATGGGAAATAATGCAGCCATTTTAAAAATCATGTAATGGTGAGGTCTAGGCAAAAATGTATATGACAATATGAACAGGTTAATAAATTCAAGATACATTTTCATATAAAGTCACTAAACATGATATTGTGTGCATAGAAAACAGGCACTTCAGTTAATGCATGGAAAACTTTTACTTAGGCAATCATTTTCTTGTTTGTTTAACCTGTTTCACCAAGCTCTTGCAATGAATATATATTCCACTCCAAAAAGTTACTTGAGCAAATAAATTTTCCCATTACCAAAGTAACATTAAGCATTTTTCTAAGGAAATCAGGAAAATGTATACATTTTCTGTATAATTACTAATTTACATGACTGAAATGGTATAGTAATAGGGAAGAAATGCACCAACAGCAGACTCTGTCTTGCTCGATGCTGTTCCACCTCCCTTGATTTCTCAGGTCTACCATTTCTGAAATGCAGTACACGGTATCCCACATAATACTGCACATCTTTTGTTCCTGAAAACCTTTTAAAAACACATCTGTCCTATCTCTCAAACACTATACAGAAGCACCTAAATTAAAAAGTCCATGTATTGCTCAATAAAAAGACTGCATTTTCCAAATACACTGGAATCTTTTTGTCTTTCTTTTCACCTAATAAAATTTCATTTCTTCTTAGGCTGAAATTTCACCTTCCTATAATGATTATAATGGAAGAAATTCAATACATGAATTTAAATTTCTTAAAAAATAATTTATAAAAAGTATCTCTAGGAATATAATAAATATGACATAACTTTAAGCAGTTACCATTTAGTATCGTTTGAGAACACCAGTAAAGTAGTACAGTTTACTAAAAAGGGAATCTGAGATTTGACTCAAGAGAACTCTATCTTAACCTAAATAATTGTATAGCACTGGACAGCTCCCTCCAAACAAACTGACAACATGATATAGTAAATTCTCAACTTTTGAGTGGGCTATTTTAGAAACAGCAAATTTATAAGTTTTTTAAAACAATTCAGTCGTACATTTGAGAATAAGAAATGAAACACATTTTCCTTTGTACAAATCATAATTAGGTCCACAGTTTTATTGCTTGTAACTCCAATGTATATGAACATACAGTACATAATCATCATGTTTACTGCACACTTAACTTATATATCCAGAACATCCTAGGGAGAAAATAATGTCTTATATTTCAAACATCAGTAGGGTAAGAAACACTTCAAAACAATTCATTAGTCAAGCCTATCCTAGCACGCCAATAATTTTCCAACCAGAACACCAAACCAAACATTAATGAAATATCTATATATTCTTGCAACAGCAATTAGTGATACTTCTACCAGTTCTTACTTGTAGACAATCTACCCCGTCTTCAACAGCTAGTCACAGTAACTTCTAGAATGTGTGTAGTCTGTAGACAGCCTGTATGTTCTCCCATGTCAGTCTAGCTTTCGCAGGGCACTCCACTTTCCCCTCACTATCCCAGAGGTGGAGTGTAGATTGGAAAGTGCATGTAAATTGCCCCCAGCTGAATGAAAGTATGTGTGTGAGATGTTTGACTGAGAGGGAACGGCCCCGAATGCAGGGTTAGTGCCCACCTTTCACCCTGAGTTTCCAGGGTGAAAATTCATGTAAGGAAAAGAATAATAAGTGAATCATTTAACAAACTGCTTTTGAATATTAGTAGTGTTTTAGGTCTTTATAAAGAAGCTTGGTGATGTTTTCATAACCTGAAATATGCCATAAAAACTTAACCTTATTTTTGGCTGACCTCTGGACAGTGTGCATATGACATGTGCAGGCCTACTTATAGATGCTATAAACAACATTATCAACAAAGACAGTACTGTTCTGAAAATGTACTTTCTTCCTTATGATTTTCTTAATGTAATTTTCACTTCTCTAGTTTACTTTTTGTAACAATCCAGAATATGATATAAATAATATATAAAATACATGTTAACTAACTGCTTACCTCACTGGTAAGGCTCTGTACAATAGCAGACTACTGAAAGTCAATTTTCAAGAAGTGAAAGTCCTATGTAGATTTTTTTACTATATGGGGTTTGGTTAAACTGTTTATCAACTGGCCTATGGTAACACTGGCTTCTTTATTGTTTCACTTGAAATGAAGATTTCCAGGACCCTACTGACAATGTTAATTGAGGACTTACTGTGTAAAGCATGACAAAAAAACTTAGTTTGTCGCTTTTGTGATGTGTACACTACCTAACAACCATCATATTCTGTAAATAAATTATATTTCTGACTATATGTGTATTTCTGTAGATTACTTGTCCTGAACACAATAATGATCCAATCAGACACATCCACAAAAAAAGTCATCTCTGCTAGGATGTTCAGATGAAGAGGGAACATTTCCAGTTTTTAAGTGATTAAACTATTTACAAAGCTATACTAACCAGATTGACATATCTGAATTTGCTATTAAAGATGCCATTCACTCCATTCATCTGTTCAGAAGAAAAAAATTTACCTACATTAATGAGACAGAGAAAGAATTTCAAGGCAATAACTGAAAATTCAGTGATTTACACCTAAAAACTAAGCCAAGGTAATATTTAAAAGATAGTGACTCTACATTTGGAAAAGGTAAACAATTTTGTTAACTTCCTCTTGTAATATGCATATATACTTTGTTCTCCTGGATTTAAATGAAATAAAAAAGTGATTAAAGCAGTGATTCACAAATAAGAACTTTCAAATATAAAACTATTTCTTAGGCAGCCTGACCTAATCTACATTATTGTTAACTATTTCCTTACAGACTCAACTATCTTACCATTTCTATCACACTGGGAAAAAAGGCAAAATAGCCAAGATCCCCTATCTCCTATCAATTTTTGAGAAAACTATAGGTTTTCTTTTTCTTTACATTTTCTACAATAAACAAAACATATTACTTTCAGAAAACATGTTAAGAAGATCTTAAAAGTATGAATACAATCAAAGCATAAATTAGTCTGTGGAGTTACAATAAATTTCCAAACCATTTTTGGCTAACATGGCTACATATAGACATCTTACTTTCCTGACCTGTGAATATTCATAAATTGCATTTAAAAATAAAAACATATTGTGTATATCTAAAACATGAAAACACACAGTAACTGGATTTTATAAAGTTTATAAAACAAATATTAGAAATAGTTGTTTTAAGCTCTTATTTGTCAATCACTACTTAATCACTTTTTTATTTCATTTAAATCCAGGAGAACAAAGTATAGGTGCATACTGCAAGAAGAAGTTAACAAAACTGTTTCCAAAAGTAAAGTCACTATCTTTTAAATATTACCCTTGGCTTAGTGTTTAGGTGTAAACCAACATCAGAAAGTCACTGATTTTTCAATTATTACCCTGAAATTCTTTCTCTGTCTCATTAATGTTAGGTGAAAATTTTTCTCCTGAACAGATGAATGGAGTGAATGGAACTTTTAATAGCAAATTCAGATACATCAATCTGGTTAGCATTGTTTTGTAGGGAACCTGTTCTTTGAGATATTTGATTCTGACTAATTGAATCCATCATTTCAAATTATATTTCTGTAAAACTTAAATCGAGATTAATGCAAAATATATTCATAAATTACAGAATACATATATCCAAATTCTACCAGATATATGTATATTCCTTTATTCTTATGTTTTCTTTTTGTTAGTATTCAAAAACAAAAAAAGGGACCAAACACTGGGGCTCATGACAGGTCAGGGGGAAGTGACTTTCTTCCTACTTAAAGCATGAAGGGAAAAGTCTCTGATTATCTAATGCTGGAAATAAGAAAACCTACCACAGCCTCACCAATTTAAGATTCTTAATTTTCTTACCCTTCTCAGTATAATCGTGTCTAAAAATAAACCTCAGCATCATCCTAGGAACTATTTTAAAGCAGACACACAAACATACATACAAAAGTTAAACCGTAATTTCTTTCTGCGATATTATCATTAGAATATGCTTTTATTGATAATTAAAACCAAAGTTCCTTTAATACTTGCTAGAAAGAAACGTGATCAAAGAGCAGCATTGTTATAATTTTAAACTTTCTTAAACAGCATATTTCTCAATGTGTATGCATGTATATATGAATGTATACTTTGTACCATTACTATCCAATTATAAGTCAGTTCAAATGGAAAGGAAGAAAAACTGTCATAATTCCACAGGTGAGAAATAAGGTTGAATAAATTCTTACAAACAGGAAATCAATCCTGTAAACACTTTTTGCTATGCTAATAAAGTAGCAAAATATATGTTTTAAAAGACAATTTGAATTTTTTTATTACCATTAAACTTACGTAAATTAGTGACAAAGAAATAGTAACTTTTAGCTAATACTCCCACATACATATATTTAAAAATATAATTTCAAATTATCAAAAATAAATACTACAAAATGACTAAATCAATTCTTAAATTAATGTACATTTAGTTTGATGTTTATTCTTTCACTCATGAATGCAAATGGGACAAATTTTCTACGATATATACATCAACATTTATACTTACATTTAAAATAGATTCCTCACAGTATTTCACAGAGTATATGCTCTTAGACCGCTATATCACACCTTCTTAAAAAATACAAGCAAGCATACAGAACAGCTGTACTAACAAAAACTTAACACACTATTCGTATATTCGCATCTAAGCTCTGGAGAACCTCAGTTACAACTCAAGATAAGTAAGGATAAAGTCTACAGATATGATTCCATTTGTATATCCATACCTGTGTATCTAACATGTACTTAAGTGTGCATATATATGTATACATGTGAAAGCAAGAATAAGAGAAGAAAAAGTGTTTATTGTGTCATCCGTACACTAAACTTCTCATTCACCCACCATTACATGTGAACCTCACCACTTGCCCAAGGTTATGCAGACAATAAGGAACCTGGTCACGTTTGAACTCAGGCTGCTCTGACTCCAGAGTCCATTTCTTTTCACTACATTATGCAACTTCATTGTCCAATAGACTCTTACCATTACAACTATACAAAAGACTAACATCAATACTTCAACAATTTTAAAATACTAACATTTCCTTTGATGCTTATTCTATCACTCACAAATGGAGATGAACAAACTTTCTATGACATATACACCAGTGCTTACAGGCATTCAAAGTAGAGTCTACACAATAATTTGTAATTCTGAAAGGTTTATATATTCATTAACAAAATTTCTAACTTCTAGCAAAGTACATTAAAACTTAATATATTGAATCTGTGAATAAAAAAAGCAATGTTATCCTTTCAAAAGTCAAACTGAATAATGTTCCTACTCTAAAGATGGAAGAATGGAACATCAATAAAGAATAACAACTATAAGTTGGGGGTACACAAAATGTTTAAATCTGAGTTACTAATACTAGAGAAAAATAAGATCACCACTAGACAATGCTAGAGATCAACTCATTATGCTGATATTTGACTGATCAGAAACATGCATTATAACATTACTAATTATATCATTGGATAAACAGTTTTTTTAAAGAAGTGTTTTAGCTGACAAATGAAGGAGTGATGTATTTACAGTATCATCATTTTGCATTATGGATTCAGGCATTGAGCATTAACAGCTAATGCTACAAAATCAGAGATAATTGATACTCTGCTTATTAAATTCAAAGTAAGAGGCTTTCCCCTTCTACAAGTCTCTAGATGCAAGTCAGTTTAGAAAAAAATAGAGGAAAGGTATATGTTAAATGGCACCACAGCAGTGCAGTAAGATCAGACTGCTAAGAACTGTACAGGACAAATAACCTAGTATCTTCAACAAGTAAATTACAGAGGGTTAAGAAAGAAGGAAGAACCTACAGATTAAGAGACATATCTGCTAATTGTAATCTGTAAGCCTTTTGTGAAACCTGATTTGAATAAACTAAGTGTATGCCTCTCTCTGAAATGGAATGGAAAAGTGAAGACTGAGTAATGAATTGTTATTATTACTATTGTTTAGGGAGTGGTTAATACTATGGTGGTTATATGTGTGTGGGTGGGGGCTACAGAGTTTTACATTAATTTTTTTTAACTTTTACATTGGTGCTCATTTTTGTACAGTATTTGATTTCTCCCTTCAGGTTTAATCCCCGTAGATCTCCTACCACCATATCACCTGTGAACTGTCACCACGGTCCCTTGTGCTCTTCCTTTCCTCTTTTTTGATTCCTCACCTCTTCCTCCCCTATTCTATGTCTCAGATCTATCGATAGTTGCCTGCAAGTTTTATCTATTTTTTTTTTCCTGACCTTTTGTTCAGTTTCCTTCTATTTCTCCTATAAGTGATACCACCGGATATTTTTCTTTTTCCTTCTGATTTATTTCACTGAGCATAATTCCTTCCAGCTTGATCCATGTTTTGCAAATGACATCAGTTTATCTTTCTGACTGCTGGCTAGTATTCCTCTGTGTGTGTGTATACATACACAGAAACATGTAATGTGGCTACATTTAACAAAGGAAGCCCTTCTATTACCTACATACATACAAGACAGATGAGATAAACTAATATGCTAAAATTTGATTTAAAATAACATAAGAGGATATGAGTAGAATGAATGAAACCAGATAACCCCAGTGATATGTACATGAATTTCATATAATCCGGTCACTTTTGAATAGTTGCATTTTCCATTAAAAAAGGATAATTAGTACATTTAAGTCTTTTCCTATTTTCTCTGAAGAAGTTACCCCAATATCTAATATGATCTCTTTTATGTGACTAAAAAGCATTAGGATTACGAGATCACATATTACACCTCAATAGCTATGGGTGATAAGACTTTTAACAGAACATGCTTTTAGATAAAAATTAAGTTTAACAAAGAATGGATTATAGCCACTATGTACATCACTGGTTAAAGCTGCTGGGTTTGTTTTTTTTTGGGGGGGGGGGTGGAGGGGGGGAGGGTAAGCAAGAGGACTTACCTGTGTGACTGTTGAAATGTGCAAAGTTAGCAAAATTGGCTGTAGCTGTTGACTGAGGAGGTGGAGCAGCAAAGATGTCAGAGCCAAGATCACTTAAAAGGTCAAACTGCTTCTTTTCCTGAGGTGGTCCTTGAGAGCGACCTACAACAGGGGACTATAAAACCCAGATTAAATACAAGGATTTCCAGCTTTACTAAATTTTTATAACACTATTTCCACTTCAAGCTTAAAATATTGTTTAAAAAAATGTCTGATGTGTAGTTTTAAGTACTTTAATGCTCTCTCTCTCCTTTTTTTTTTTTTTTTTTTAAGGAGAACAGATTTTCAGTATCTATTCCCAAATTATCTTGGGACTTAAAACCAAAAAAATATGTAACTATACATTTGTTGCCCCTCATGATACAAAATAGGCTTACTGCTAAGACAAAAACGACGAGGTTATTATAAACACTTGCTTTATATAGAAAATTACAATATAGTTAACCTCTTCTTCATTCAGATCTTTTGGAAACACGGCTTATCCAAATGTAGTATGCACTATAAAAAGGGTGGGTTTTAATTCAAATATCAGTAGTACCATGCCTGAGAACCAATCTTGTATATGATACACACTCGAAGCCACATGATAATAGACATTTCATGATTCAGTCAGTTGTTAATGAATAATGAAGTATAAATTTCAGGTGACACCTTATGAAGACTAAGTTTCTGGGGAATTAATTATACAACACAAAGTTACCTCTGTGTAAATGATAAACATACTTTGCAATCAGACATGAGGGAAAACTACTGTTTGAGAAACCTTGTCCTGTAAAAGCACATCTTTGTGACTACGCCTCTTTAACCAACTATAAACACACATTCATGCATTGCTAAATGCATGTGACAGACAGCTATTGCAATGTTTCTGTATACCTGTACAAAGCTATGCAAAAGAAACTCAAAAGCAGTAAGAACAAAAAAATATACATTCTAACCACTTAGCCAACAATTTCTTTTAAGATAATACAAATCACTAGAATATGATGCTACTAGGAAACAAGGTTATGCTATTGTCTTAATGAATTTTTAAGTTCATATTTAATCCTCTTCAAGTAGAAACTCCTGGGGAGAAAAAAAAAAACTTAAAAATTACTCACCTGGCTAGGTGTGCCCTTATTTAAGTGCAACGCTGGTGCTGAATCTCCTAAAAGAGATTTTAGTGGTTTGACCTCAGGGGTACTGCTTGTGCTACTGGCAGAGGACCCTGAAATAGATGCATGAACTGATGCCACCACTTTGGCTTGTTCTGGTGGGACATACCTAAAATACATGAAAAGGTGAAAAGACCATTAACTAAGCATATGTACAAGGGATACTATAATCAAAAATAGTAAATTTAGTTCTAGTTTTGTGTAATATTATTTAACTTTTTATTTTCAAAAGCATCTTAGAACTGATAGTTCAGGACTCTCCCTGGTGGCACAACAAGTTAGAGCACAGCAAGCACTGCAAAGCTGGCTGCAGCCACTTCCATGTAAGTTCGATCCCCCACCCTGGAGGTGATCCACATGGCATGGCAGGCCTCTGCCTGTTCTGCTCCCCACTCTGACTCTGGTGAATCCTCTCACCGCTTTGTGCCTCTGGCCTGTACTCCAGTTCTATATGCATAAATAAATATTAAAAAAAAAAAAAAGAATTGGTAGTTTAAATGTAGCTGTATTTAATGTAAGACTGTAGTGTAATGTAAGACTGTATTTAATTGAAATAGTCAAAAAGGGGGTAATAAAAACCACAGAATTTGTTTCAATTATTTAGTTTCTATAAGATAATAAATACATTATGTGAATTGTTTTTTAAAATAACAGAGGACCTGTAGGTAATAATCTATTTTAATTCTTAAACACTAAAATACCGTAAGATTGTAAAATCTGCTAACAGACCAGCAAAGGGAAAAAATCCATTATATTACAGCTAATAGATAAAATATCAAGGCCTCTCATAAATCTGTAAGTCCGGCCCTCCCTGGTGACGCAGCGGGTTAAAGCACAGCACTAAGCTTAAGAAGCTTAAGCCACTTCCTCATGAGTTCGATCCCCGCCTGCCCCGAGGAGATCCACATGACGCGCAGACCTCTCCTGACCCACCCGCTACTCCCCTCAGCAGTGTACTTCATCGATCTGCCTGTTCTGCTCCCACTCTATCCCTATGAATCTTCTCACCCTCCACATCTCTGGCCTGTACCCCAGTTCTGTATGAATAAAATAAATAAATCTTAAAAAAAAAAATTTGTAAGTCCAACAACCCAATTTTAAAATGGACGGAATTAACAGAGACAAAGGAAAACACTTGTAATGTAATAAAAACGCAAATTAAAATAACATTAGCATTTAATGTCAATGTAAATTTTACAAATTTTGTTACTATTTATTAAAACACATAAATAGGTATATTCAGTCTTAGAAGAACCACTGCCTGATATCTATTCTTAAGAGAAACTCATCCTTAGGATTAGATATGCACAGAAATACATATGTAGATCCATATTGCCATAGTATTCTTTATCTTTCCATTTTTATTAATTTTTTTATAGTCATAAAAAAAAAGAGCATTTGATCAAGAATTTGGAGTCCTGATTCTGCTCGACAACCAAAGAAGTCCAAGCTGTGTTTGTTCTACCAGGGTCAGGCTTCAGGGAAGTTTAAAGGCCCAAGCAGGGCAGTAGTCTGGCTATACTTAGGTCACTTGTTTAAAACTTTCAGACTGGCTTATAGGAATCTTTAGGCAGAAAACTGACGTATAAGGTCTTCTGCAACAATCAGCAGATGACCTTCCTAGTCATCAATAAAGAAAGAACTTGGTGGGTGTTCTTTCCTAGTGGCTGATAGGAAGCTGAATTAGATTGCTTACTTTTCACCTGAAGTTTTAATATGACAGATACTGGACAGTCTGATTAAAAAACAGGCGCTACAGTTTATATCATATATGTGCATATGTGTGTGTGTATATATGGTTATATATATATATCTAACTTCAATGTAACAGCACTCTGTTTTCAAAAAATTGGGAAAAATAAGCCCCAAACACCTATCAAGAGAAAAATATTTTAAAAGATTATACAAAAATCTTATTTATTAAAATACATAAATAGGTTATAGATAGTCTTGTAACATGGAAAGATGTCCATAAGACTAATTTATAGGTCTTTCAGATTTCAGCCTAGTAGGATAAATTTAGGAATCACAGGAGAATAAAGGAAAGCAGAGCTAGGAAGATTCTAATGTCCAAATACTGCCAGTGTTGAGCTCGAGGGCTGTGTATCTAGGTTTGTCCTACCCTAATCCTTATCTTCCTCCTCACACAACACAAATCAAGTCAGCAAACAGTATGGTTAAGAGCACCCAACTGTTCTAGTAACGGGGTTCAAATGCTCGCTCTACCACTCAATCACTGTAGAACCTAGACCTCAACTCTTTTGAGCCTCTGACTTTTTCATCTATAAATGAAAATATGATTGCCTCAAGGTATAGCTGAGTTAATATTCACAAATTACTTAGAAAAGTTCCTAGACTACAGGTGTCAGCGATTTTAGGTTATTAGTTATTATCGAATTATACAATAATCACAAACAATAAAACTGTTTTGCTTTTTCCAGTAAATAGACTGGATGGGATTTGAAAATGATTCTAGGAACTTAAGCTTTCCCGTAACTAGGCATATCACCAATGATATAAATTTTGAGTCCAGCTAAATCTTACCAAAGGATAAAATCAAATAGTAGTACTTGGTTCAAAATATTTATCTAACGAAGTAAAACTAAATTTATATAACATAAGAAGTAAATTTGAAAACTGATTAAAACAATAATTTCTTTTCACTATTGCAATTCAGTGAGGGTTTTTTAGGGACACTGAATTTGGATAGTGCTTATGCAACATAAAAACCCATTATATTGGCCCTCCCTGGTGGCTCAGTGGGTTAAAGCACTGCACTAAAAAGCTGAAACCACTTCCGCATAAGTTCGATTCCTGCCTGCCCCGGAGGTGACCAGATGATGCGGCAGACCTCTCCTGACCCGCCCACTGCTCCCCTCAGCAGTGTACTTCCTCAGTCTGCCTGTTCTGCTCCCCACTCTGTCTCTGATGAAGTCTTTCGCCACCCCTGAGTCTCTGGCCTGTACCCCAGTTCTGTATACACAAACAAATAAATCTTTAAAAAAAAAAAAAAAAAAACCATTACATTAATCCCAGTGCAGGTGTACAGGAGCATAGATTTAATTAAAATGCATATAGTGGGTGGCCGGTTAGTTCAGATGGTCAGAGCGTGGTGCTGATAAAATGTACGTGCTATGGATCTCTTGAATGTCAGTCAATCACCCTCCCCACACACCAATTAAAGTTTGTGTTTTTATTACTCACTATTACTGTCCTGTTTCTCACAATATTTTGAAAAAGTACTCTATATTTGTCTTGCTAGCTAAAGATTGTTAAAATTTTCCTGAAATCCTCACTAAGTTCTAGTCATACTAACTGTTGTTAGTCTGAAATGGTTAACAGCTGTTGGGGGAAAAGAATTAAGCTAGGGCTATGCAAGAATAACATGTCTTAACTAAAAGATGGACAGTTTAAGAAATAAAGCACTAGCGTGATGCAAGGATCATTTTACATCTCATTTTTTTTTTTTTCTAAGATTTATTTATTTATTCATACAGAACTGGGGTACAGGCCAGAGATGCGGAGGGTGAGAGGATTCACCAGAGACAGAGTGGGGAGCAGAACAAGCAGATCGACGAAGTACACTGCTGAGGGGAGCAGCGGGCAGGTCAGGAGAGGTCTGCCACACCATGTGATCACCTCCGGGGCAGGCGGGAATCGAACTCATGTGGAAGCGGCTTTAGATTCTCAGTGCTGTGCTTTAACCCGCTGCGCCACCAGGGAGGGCCTTACATCTCATTTTAAGAGAACCCTATGCCACCATATTTTCACTAACCAGCTCACCTTCTAAGATTTTCTTCTTTCCTGAGCTAAAATCTTACTGATTTCTTTTTAATCTATATTCACACCTAATATATCTAGTGTCAATGAAGACTGCCCTGACTATTCCTGCCTAGGAAAAAGTAGTCTCTAAAGGACAGTAAGGTCACAAGGTTCACAGAGCATATGAATTAGAGCTACTTCTTTCTAACGTGCTCACTAAGTAGAGATAAAAATGTCTCACCCAGAAACCATAGCAAGTATTCTCTCAAACCAAAATAGGCCCTGGAATCCATCACTCTCTGGATTAAAATGCAGCAACTCAGGGAAACAATCTATTCCCCATTTGTGACTATCTCCTTCATCTTAACCCTCCCAGAAAGGAAAGACGTTACTAAACACTGATAAAGCAACAACCAAGAATTCATCACTAGTGAGCCTCAGTAAACTGACTAATCAAGTATGTTCATATAGCTAAATATGAAGAGTCAAAACTAGCTGAATACTAGCTCTAAGGATATAGTGCCTGCTTGTTTTAAAGGACTTTATCAAAGCCCTATCCCAACCTGTTTTAAGGTAGACTGAGTTATGGGAACATAAATAACTCCTCCTTAACTAGCTAGTGAAAAGATTTTCAATGGGCAGTTAGGGTTATTTTGAGCAAAAGCTTAGTGTCAGATGCAATTAAGTAACCACAACACTGCAGCACTAGCACAGTACCTGGTACAGAGAAGGGGCTGCATGGACACTTGCAAAATGACAAAGATTTTAAGAAAGGAACCTTTATAAGACTAAAAATGTCTAAAGAAATAAACAGGATAAGGTAAGGATTAAAAGGAAGGATTCTTAACTTTCTGAAAAACAGCAGAGGGCTATTAGGCGTAGATGAGCGAAGAAAGTTTTTGAAAAACAAATCTAATAAAAAGCAGGCTTACTTTCTATCTACCTGCCTACCTCTTATCTATTTCCTTCTTATGTCACACTAATCTTATCCACAATTAATGTGATTTAGGGGAGCTTTAGCTTAAATGTAAACTATCCACTCACCATCTTTTCTTTTCATATTTTTCTTGTAGGAACTCTTTCACTTTTTGTGGATCCCTGAAGTCTGGAATTGCTGAAGATCTATCATCAAACAATCCTAGCCAAATCTGTTTACAGACCTTTAAGAAAAAATTAAAAATAGAAGCGTTAAATTCAACATCTTTACTCAATGAAATATTAAGCAAAATTATGAAAGCTAACTTATTTAACAATACTGGTTTCAATGACAATACTTAATACAATGAGAAATAAAGAAGCAACAAAAGGCGGCACTAAGCTTATTTTAATAAGTTATTGTAGCAGTAAAACTGGCAACAGTGGAAACAAGTGAAATAAGATTGTCACTGGAATTTATTTTAGGAGAGGGGACCCAAACACTGTGAGTCATTAAAAGTGAAGCCACAATTTCCTCACCCCATAAATCAGAGGAATTAGATGAACAGCAATTTCATGGATCCTTAACAGATTTAACAAACAACCATCATGAACAAAAAGTGCTAGCGCATGAATAATCTGTTATTTAAAGAGTAACAAAATACAAGGCAGATATGACTCTACAGTTGCTTCTTATGCTCTTTTACAGCTAACCAGCTAACCATAATACTCAGAGATGTTCTATTTTTTAGAAAAAAAAATAATGATAATAATAAAATGACACACAACTCACACAAAAAGTATAGGGAATGATAAAGAAAAAAAAGAACTTCATCAATATTAGAGGCTGTTCTTCAAAAACCTTAAAAGAAAATGAAAAGGCAAGTCACCAACTTTGATAAAAGTATCTGTAAAATCTACATGAGCTTAAAAGAACTCAAAAATACTGGTGATTTAATTTTTTTAAAAACAAAACTTTTGTTTAAGGAATGGGCAGAAAACGCCATGCTACATAGAAACCACCAGGCTGGCTACATCCCACTTCTAAATATTTACCCAATAAAAAGCACATGTCCTCACTCAGTTTTTGTCACCTACATCAATAAATATCAAGATAAATTATGCTGAGGGAAGTCAGATCACTTCCTCAAAAGTACATAATTGTATGGTTCCCTTCATTTAAAATTTGAGAAAATGTATACTTTCCTATAGTGATGGAAAGCAGATCAATGGATGCATCACAAAGGGGCTTAAGAAAACTTTGGCAGTCATGAAAATGCATCTTATTTTCTAATTATAGTAATCATTTCACAAACACCAAAATTTGACACTTTAAAATATGCCGAAATTGTAATTATTCCTCAGTATAATTATAAAAAGTACACACATTTCCAAAGTTATATTATTTTAAATAAGCACTAATGACACTATCAAAATAAAACACAGTAACTAGCCTGACAAAGACCTGAGAGATCAATAAAGGAAGGGCAACATCTTCTGATTCTTAGCCTGCTCACCGAAGTGGGTGATGGAAAAATAAGAGAAGAAAAAAAGACTCACCCTCTGCTTCTCCTAGCAAGTCCCCAAAACATGTTTCAAAACATTTCTTGTGGTCCCTTCCTACTCGGGGGTCAGTATACAGATATGACGTCATTAAGGCAGCTACAAATGACACGTGGGGCCTATACATGGCATACTCTCATTATAAAAACATTTTAGTGGCAGAGCACAAGAAATGCAGACACCCAGAAAAGGATACAGCCTACTACCAAAAATACTATAAACTTTGGAGAGGCCCAGCTTCTCCACTGTATATTTAGCTACTTAAAAATTACCACTTGGAAAGTTCCTTAGGCAGAAACCTCTAAAGCCTTATTTTAAAAAAATCTCGTGCCTTTTAAATTACATTCATTAAAAAAGGATTAGAAATTTCTAATTCTTATATTGAAAAAATTTCCAAACAAGAAAGCAAGAGAAACAGGAGTCATGTGCCCAAAGCTATAAAGAATATTTAACTATAACTGACAATCAGTTCAGGATACTTTTATGACATATAGTCTGCATTCCCAAACCCCCAGTACTACCTATTTTTTAAGACTAAAAACAATAAACATATGAACAAAAAAAGAGATGAGTTGAAAACACAGATCATAAGATCACAGTCTTGGCACTCATCATGGGAATGGAGTGCTTGATGGGTGGTTTCACAGCTAACTACCTGGACTTATTAGCAACACATTGGATTCATTTAAAACTCTGTGCTAACTGCTAGTGGTTCTGCTGTCTGACTGGCCAAACTGTTAGGAAAACCTATTTACAATTCATGCTGTCGCCATTAAAAGTTCTGAGAGAGGGCCCTCCCTGGTGGCGCAGTGGGTTAAAGCACTGCACTAAGAAGCTTAAGCCACTTCCTCATGAGTTCGATTGCCACCTGCCCCGATTGCCACCTGCCCCGATTGCCACCTGTCCCGGAGGAGCGGCAGATCTCTCCTGACCGGCCCGCTGCTCCCCTCAGCAGTGTAGTTCCTCAGTCGGCCTGTTCTGCTCCTCACTCTGTCTCTGGTGAAGTCTTTCGCCACCCCTGAGTCTCTGGCCTGTACCCCAGTTCTGTATTAATAAATAAATAAATCTTTTTAAAAAAAAAGTTATGAGAGATTGTCAATTAACTCATATATGTATGTATGTATGTATGTATGTATGTATATGTTAGTGCACAAGAGTTATTTTCTGAATTGTTCAAAATTTAATCATCCCTGCCACTCTTAGCAGTTGAAATTCTTACTCAGATGAAATGGCTCTTCAAACATTATGCCCCAATTCCCTGAACTGAACCATTGTTAAGTCAAATTTTCAGGATCCACTCAAGGCTTACGAAATCAGAACCTCTGGAGGTGGTATCTAGCTAGCCATTTGTGTTTTAGCAAGTCCTACAGGTAGGTGATTGTGAAATAGGCTGAAGTCGGAAAACCAAGTCTAACCAATATCAGCAGGTGGAACTTCCTGTTCACACATAAACATTATATATAGTCTTCAACATTTCTCAAATTCACTTAAGCCACTACACTTGTTACTGGGCAAGATTTACTTAGCAGTTAGTGTGATTTATTTACTTAGTATTCCAAGGACACACATGGGGAAATGTCATAGTCCCATGGACTGTTCCCATTTTGATCACTGAGAGATGGCTTCTACTACCACCAATCGGTTAAAATTGCTCTTTCAGATTTTTCAATTTGCTGATAAGAAAATATAAAATTCTCTTTTATGCTTATTTGATTTTTGTTGTTGGTTTAGTAAAATAGTAGACTGACTGTAAAGGCTGAAGGAGAATGGCAGAGTGAATCGACCAAGACTACATGTAGCACCAAGAAACTGGACATGTGCATTTCAAGTGAAACCAGACAGGACAGTAGTGTTTTCTCCTCTGAACAAAGTAAGTACAAAGTAGGTAGAGTGTTGAGTTTAATCAGGTAAAATACAACAGGTTTGCAGAAATGGCTTATGGAGTGACAAAGTAAGTAAAAGCTGGGAAGTGGACCTGTCTCTTGTTGCTTACTGGAAACTGTGTATCTCACTTCACTCCTATTGCAGGCAGCATCAAAGTAGTCTTGAAGTAACAATCTCCTGCCTCAAAACTTATACCACTTTTAACTCTCACATAAAACTCATTACAAACTGCTCTGTATTAGTTTTCTGAGTATGTGTCTCATTTACTTTAAATTCTCCAAAGTACTTAAAACTGTCATATTACATTAAATATTCAAACAGGATCTTTTGGAGGAACTGAAAATGAAATTATGGGCTCTCCCTGGTGGTACAATGGGTTGAAGCACAGCACTATGAAGCTGTGGAAACCACTTCAGTGCAAGTTCAAGCCCTGGCCTGGGAGGTGACCCACATGGCACAGCAGCCCTCTCCTGTCTCCCTGCTGCTCCCCTCAGCAGTGCACTTCGTCAATCTGCCTGTTCTACTCCCCACTCAGTCTCTGGTGAATCCTCTCACCACCCCTGCACCTCTGTTCTGTACCCCAGTTCTGTATGCACAAATAAATAAATCTTAAAAAAGAAATCAGACATTAGTCAAAGAACAAATTCATGAACTTGTCACAATATTCTTGTTCCTTGTTCTAGCATTCACTTTAGAATTGTAATCACAATAGCCACTGACAGAATTTAAAATATTTTAAAGCATATTTATCATCACTGCTGCCACAGGAAATAGATATCTAAATATCTAAACTCAATTTACATAATCAGGAAAAAGTTTAATAGAGACTGCATACAAAACGTAAGTAAGGCTATAAATAAATCATGCATTAGAATGTAGTATCCCAAGATGAGTAGTAGCAGGACCACAGGCAGTAAAGAAAGGAAGAAAAGAAGGAGAACCTTAAAACAAGAGGTCATACTTGATGGGAGCTCTGAGCTTCAATGGAAGTAGAGTGCCAGGCTGCAGATTTCTATAAGGGGAATGAGGAAGTAAATACCCTACCCTAACTCAGTCCCCTCTTTGGTGTGCTGACAAAGTTCCCAATCAGCTGAACCAACCTAGAACCAGGAGGTAAAAAAAAAAAGTCCATTTGTGTATCCAACTCAGCTGCTTACAGTCAGAGCAGTGTGAAGACTAGAGTTAGAGCAGTGTGAAGACTAGAGTTAGAAGGGCAAATGGAAAGTTATCCACAAAGCACCTAAATCATGATAGCTAGATAGATAGACAGACAGATAGATAGATAAGATAGATAGACAGATGCAGTACATATGATTTAACAAGTGCAATTGTGAGCACCAAAAATAGGAAACACTCATATTAGTTCTCAGTTACTCACACAGGAAATGGGTAAGCATCAAGCTTAAGAAGAAAAGAAAAGTAAGATAGCATATTGTTCGGTAATCTCAGGGACAAAAAAACAGCAGAAACTTGTGGGGTAGATACCTGCCTTTATTCAGACAAACCCTTACTTACATCCAAAGAACAAACAACTTGACATGACTGCCAGCTACCATTAGGGATGTATACAAAAATAAAGGAAATGATGCTCTGGAATTAAAGAAACCTTGTGCATTAAGCCAACTGACAAGCACTCAACTAGATTTCAGACTATCCTTTTTCTCCAAAGTGACAATGGAAGATCTACCTTCTGTTACGTCTTCTTTGTATGTACGATGTAATGACAGCATTCAGCAATACTGCCCTTAAAATATAGGAACACACAGTAGGAGGCTTATAGAATTGCACGTAATGAACA